GATATTTTCATCACATTTAAAAGTACAAGTTTCACAAATTTATTACTGATAGTTACATACAATGACAGTTTACATTGATTGTACAATGTGCTTTATGAAATTGTATTAAATTTTTGTTTTTATTTCATATTGTAGGGTCAAAAAGTAGAGAAAGTATTCACAGTTGCAGAGTATGGTAAGTCATTTATAAAATTAATTTAGATTACTTTGATTAGTATGTTATTGAATATCACATTGTCTTTCAAGAAATGTACCATTTTTATAACCTATTCTCTCAGAAATTTACTTAGGATATAATAATCAAAGTCCCCAAAAAGGTGACATTATCAAGATGGAGAATAATCAATTTAAAATGATAAAATAAAACCCTGGCTTTTTTGCATTAACTTATTTTATAACTAATAGCCATCACCCAATCTTTATGGCAAACTCCGAGGTCACTTGTCAACCTTATTTAAGAATCCTTAATTGACAGTGATATAAATAGCTAGTCAGATGATGATGAAAGATTTTTTTTTCAGTTTTGCCCTTGTACGAGGTCAAAGTGACCCTTCCCCCTTACGGATTGACAAGAACACAAGAAAAGATCATAGGCCAAGTGGAGGCAAAGTATGACACTTTTTTGGGGGGGAACGTTAAATGATTTATTCAAGTTGCAAAATTATTCCATTACTTTTCTTTCACATTGAGATTATTTAGCTTAATTATGCAAACTTTTTATACCACTACTATGGTGGCTGGGGGAGTGGGGCGTATGCATTATTTTGGGTTCAATCGGTGCATTTCAGCAGGAAAAGCAGCTAGCAAAATAACAAGTTTGTTTTTATGGAAAAAGATGCCTATTGACTGGAAAAAGGCCTGAAAGAAAATGAATGGAAATGAATAGAATGAACTTAAAGAAAAAAGGAAGACATTTGTTTTTCTATATTAGTATCAGTTTCAGAATCTGATTTGAGAATAACTGAACATTTGCATACAGTTGAGGCTATGGTAGTATCTTTTAGTATGGCCTTAAGTTTGCTGGATTCCATTTCAGGTACACATATGGAAAAGGTGTCAAAGGAAAAGTGACATTAAAAGCCATGTTTGTGCCCTTGTACCAGTATTCTAGAAGTCCTTCTGTGAAAAGTATCATGAAAAAAATGGATGTAAGTTAGAAAAAAAACTTTTTTGTTTTGACTGGATGTATAACAGACATCATACCTTAGGATCTGCAGCACAGTTAAAGCGGGTTTTGCTGATTTTGACAGTTATAATACACCAGTAGCAAAAAAAGTCTAGTTTCTCATGAAAATCAAGGCAATACCATGCAGGCACAAATCATTTTAGAAAATGAATATCAAATGAAAGGTTTTTTGAGGACAACTTTTTTGCCTTTTTTGTTGTAACAGTTACAAAGTGGTATTCATCCCTTGAATTCTGATTGGCTAGAAGTGTAGGCTGGGACAACTGCTTGAGATGTCACCTTTGTTTCAGATAGGGAAGTTCAAAATGGGGAAAGTTTTTGCAGAATTTTTCTTTTTTATTAATAGGGGCGGATCCAGAGATATTTTTTGACAGTCTTCCAAATTAATAACATCTTTGTTGATCCATCCCCCATTTTTGACCATCTTTCAACACAAAAAATTAGATGCCAGCCAATGTAAACTTGAAAAATTGTGACAGTCTTCCGAAAGACCCAGAAGGCAGACTCCATCCACCCCTGGTTAACCATTTGATCCAAAGGCTAATTTTGCTTTGGGTCAACTGAGCAGTTAAAAATGTTCAAGGGTTCCCACATTGAAATTGCTGGCTACAGTAATTATGGTAACTACGCAATCTTTAAAATGGAGAGAAATTGTGAATTTTACGGATGCTGTATTTTTAAGTCTTAATTTCTTTAAATCGTTCCTATTGATTGGTCTTATTGATTGGTCTTCAAGTACTTGTTCTAATAATTGTATGTTGTATCTAATACCCCCATATAAAGCTGTCTGCCTTTGGTGATTTTTTGAAGGTCTGCTATAATGATTATTAATAATATCTAGTGATCTTACCTTAATTTCTCACGCAGTACCTTTCTTTTTTCTTTAATGAAGACTATGGATGTAAGTATGAAATTGTGTCGATGCATGCGATGTGTTCTTTTTAAATGTAAATGTAAAGTATTGTAATAAGCCTGTATTCAGAGAGCTCACTGACAGTGAGTTTCTCTGCATTAAGTTCAGCCGTCTAAACTGGTATCTAAACCAGCCATGTGGTAACTTCTACTTAGCCCAGTGTAATTGTAACAGTTACTGTAACAGTTACAGTTAATGTAGAAAAAAATGGACCAGGTATTAAAATTTACTGTTGACTAGGGTCCTTGACTGAAAATTCTGTTACTAGTATATATTGTTATGTATAAATATTTACAAAAGCATTATTTTGGCCCCCATTTTCCACCGATTTCAATCCACACATTGCAAAGGGTTGCTACAATATTTGTGTGATTTTCACCATATTTCTGGACTAAATGTGTCAAGTTTGATTGAGAGTGACGTACTAGATTAATAAGTGCACACCTTTGACTTGTGACTACATATTTTACAAAGGGGTGTATACGCATTAGCATCATTGTAAAAGAATGGAGTTAATGTTATAATTATAGCATTTTGATAAACATCACCCATTTGTAGATTACGTGTGCACAGCTCCATTCAAAGTGTGGAGCTAGTGCTGGAATGGTGAACAGATGTTATTTTAAAAGTTGTATCAGTTGTACTTGCTAGATGTTTCTGCCTGAAAAATTGTACCTCTGTTGTTGTATCTATAACTTAAATTTATGTACAGCACTACATTAAGTTAACATCAGTTCAAATGATACGTAAGACTGAACTGAGTGTAATACTTATTAATTTTATCTATACCCTGTGTTTTCATCAAGACCAAGTTCTCTACCCGCATGCTGTTTGAGCAGAAATTGATGACCTAATTGGTTTTCAATTGTGGGTGCTTTTTTTAGGTGACTTTCCTTTGTAATAGCCAGACTATGAAGCTGTCAATCTTTTAAAGCGTGCAAGTACAGCAGTATCCTTAAAATATACCACTCGATGTGGAAAGGGCCTCATTTTAATTTGTGCTTGCCTTTCAGATTAATGGCACTGCTTCATTCGAAATCACCCACAGCGAGATTCGTCAGACTTTTGGGTTGGCTGGAGGTGCCATCCCTACCAATCAGAACTTAGTGGTCATTGCAAACGTCACGGAGACCTTGACCGGAACTTCCCAGTCTGGAAATGAATCCATTAGATTTTATGATGAAGAACACGAAGTGGAATTTCTGGAAGCTAGTCCCTCACATTTCAAGCCAGGTCTTAAGTATACTGCCTTTGTAAGTAAATTGATCTGTATTTTAGTATTCTTCTTCTTATTATTATTACAGTTTTTACTCTTGTAGGTAATTGTGTATGAATTACTTGACTATAATTTTGCAATTTATAATACTATAATAGTAGTAGTAATTTAGTAAATTGCCTTAAACAGTTGTCTTTAGTAAGTTAAAGAGTTGTCTTACACCTTATAATTGATTAATAATATACTCATTTAAAATTACATTGAATATTGTCATTTTCATCCACCCAGGTGGATGCATACGTCACGAATAAACTTTAAATTCTAGGCCAAAGTGACCCAGCCAGACGGCACTCCCCCAGCTCCTCGCACTACCCCACTTCAAGTGGAGGTCAAATACTACAGTGAATGGAATGACCCTGACAAGGAATTGATTCGACAGACTCTGGATGTCCCAGCTGATGGACTTTTGCCAGTAACAGTGGACATTCCTACACGTGCCACTACCTTCACTTTGACTGTAAGTTTTTTATAATTCTTACAAGTTGATGATAGCTTTGATATTAATAGCTATGGGTAGGCAAAGAAGTTACTGATCAGATTTGAAAGCCAGCTGCTAGGGATGTGTTTGTTATACAATGTACATGTACTTGCTATTTCACAATTGATTAATAAGAGTAACCTTATTGACGTGGAGATAAATGTCTCAGTATGTGGTTTATGTATTTGAAATCTGCTTTCATTTTAATTTGTTACTGCATGGTACATACTATTAGATAAATGCTTTTTTTAAAAGTAATTGTACCACCAGCGTTAGCGCTGGCGGTACACATGGTTTCGGTCCCGTCCGGATCGTTCCGCCGGCTCCGCCGGCTCCGTTGGCTCCGCGGGCTCCGCCGGCTCCGCCGGACAGCTACCGTTACCGCNGAGTCATTTATAAAATTAATTTAGATTACTTTGATTAGTATGTTATTGAATATCATATTGTCTTTCAAGAAATGTACCATTTTTATAACCTATTCTCTCAGAAATTTACTTAGGATATAATAATCAAAGTCCCCAAAAAGGTAACATTATCAAGATGGAGAATAATAGATTTAAAATGATAAAATAAAACCCTGGCTTTTTTGCATTAATTTATTTTATAACTAATAGCTATCACCCAATCTTTACGGCAAACTCCGAGGTCAATTGTCAACCTTATTTAAGAATCCTTAATTGACAGTGATATAAATAGCTAGTCAGATGATGATGAAAGATTTTTTTTTCAGTTTTGCCCTTGTACGAGGTCAAAGTGACCCTTCCCCCTTACGGATTGACAAGAACACAAGAAAAGATCATAGGCCAAGTGGAGGCAAAGTATGCCACTTTTTTGGGGGGGAACGTTAAATGATTTATTCAAGTTGCAAAATTATTCCATTACTTTTCTTTCACATTGAGATTATTTAGCTTAATTATGCAAACTTTTTATACCACTACTATGGTGGCTGGGGGAGTGGGGCGTATGCATTATTTTGGGTTCAATCGGTGCATTTCAGCAGGGAAAGCAACTAACAAAATTACTTTATAATATGTTCAAAATAACAAGTTTGTTTTTAGGATCTGTTATTATGGAAAAAGATGCCTATTGACTGGAAAAAGGCCTGAAAGAAAATGAATGGAAATGAATAGAATGAACTTAAAGAAAAAAGGAAGACATTTGTTTTCCTATATTAGTATCAGTTTCAGAATCTGATTTGAGAATAACTGAACATTTGTATACAGTTGAGGCTATGGTAGTATCTTTTAGTATGACCTTAAGTTTGCTGGATTCCATTTCAGGTACACATATGGAAAAGGTGTCAAAGGAAAAGTGACATTAAAAGCCATGTTTGTGCCCTTGTACCAGTATTCTAGAAGTCCTTCTGTGAAAAGTATCATGAAAAAAATGGATGTAAGTTAGAAAAAAAAACTTTTTTGCTTTGACTGCATGTATAACAGACATCATACCTAACATGTAGGATCTGCAGCACAGTTAAAGCGGGTTTTGCTGATTTTGACAGTTATAATACACCAGTAGCAAAAAAGGTCTAGTTTCATGAAAATCAAGGCAATACCATGCAGGCACAAATCATTTGAGAAAATGAATATCAAATGAAAGGTTTTTTGAGGACAACTTTTTTGCCTTTTTTTTTTTTGTAACAGTTACAAAGTGGTATTCATCCCTTGAATTCTGATTGGCTAGAAGTGTAGGCTGGGACAACTGCTTGAGATGTCACCTTTGTTTCAGATAAGGGAAGTTCAAAATGGGGACAAGTTTTTGCAGAATTTTTCTTTTTTATTAATAGGGGCGGATCCAGAGATATTTTTGACAGTCTTCCAAATTAATAACATCTTTGTTGTTCCATCCCCCATTTTTGACCATCTTCCAACACAAAAAATTAGATGCCGGCCAATGTAAACTTGAAAAATTGTGACCGTCTTCCGAAAGACCCAGAAGGCAGACTCCATCCACCCCTGGTTAACCATTTGTTCCAAAGGCTAATTTTGCTTTGGGTCAACTGAGCAGTTAAAAATGTTCAAGGGTTCCCACATTGAAATTGCTGGCTACAGTAATTATGGTAACTACGCAATCTTTAAAATGGAGAGAAATTGTGAATTTTACGGATGCTGTATTTTTAAGTCTTAATTTCTTTAAATCGTTCCTATTGATTGGTCTTCACAAGTACTTGTTCTAATACTTGTATGTTGTATCTAATACCCCCATATAATGCTGTGTGCCTTTGGTGATTTTTTGAAGGTCTACTATAATGATTATTAATAATATCTAGTGATCTTACCTTAATTGCTCACGCAGTACCTTTCTTTTTTCTTTAATGAAGACTATGGATGTAAGTATGAAATCTTGTTGATGCATGCAATGTGTTCTTTTTAAATGTAAATGTAAAATATTGTTATAATAAGCCTGTATACAGAGAGCTCGAGCTTACTGACAGTGAGTTTCTCTGCATTATGTTCAGCCGTCTAAACTGGTTTCTAAACCAGCCATGTGGTAATTTCTACTTAGCCCAGTGTAATTGTAACAGTTCTTGTAACAGTTACAGTTAATGTAGAAAAAAATGGACCAGGTATTAAAATTTACTGTTGACTAGGGTCCTTGACTGAAAATTCTGTTACTAGTATATATTGTTATGTATAAATATTTACAAAAGCATTATTTTGGCCCCCATTTTCCACCGATTTCAATCCACACATTGCAAAGGGTTGCTACAATATTTGTGTGATTTTCACCATATTTCTGGACTAAATATGTCAAGTTTGATTGAAAGTGACATACTAGATTAATAAGTGCACACCTTTGACTTGTGACTACATATTTTACGAAGGGGTGTATGCACATTAGCATCATTGTAAAAGAATGGAGTTAATGTTATGATTATAGCATTTTGATAAACATCACCCATTTGTAGATTACGTGTGCACAGCTCCATTCAAAGTGTGGAGCTAGTGCTGGAATGGTGAACAGATGTTATTTTAAAAGTTGTATCAGTTGTACTTGCTAGATGTTTCTGCCTGAAAAATTGTACCTCTGTTGTTGTATCTATAACTGTACATAAATTTATGTACAGCACTACATTAAGTTAACATCAGTTCAAATGATACGTAAGACTGAACTGAGTGTAATACTTATTAATTTTATCTATACCCTGTCTTCATCAAGACCAAGTTCTCTACCTGCATACTGTTTGAGCAGAAATTGATGACTTGGTTTTCAATTGAGGGTGTTTTTTTTTAGGTGACTTTCCTTTGTAATATCCAGGCTATGAAGCCGTCAATCTTTTAAAGTGTGCAAGTACAGCAGTATCCTTGAAATATACCGTTCGATGTGGAAAGGGCCTTATTTTTATCTGTGCTTGCCTTTCAGATTAATGGCACTGCTTCATTCGAAATCACCCACAGCGAGATTCGTCAGACTTTTGGGTTGGCTGGAGGTGCCATCCCTACCAATCAGAACTTTGTGGTCATGGCAAACGTCACGGAGACCTTGACCGGAACTTCCCAGTCTGGAAATGAATCCATTAGATTTTATGATGAAGAACACGAAGTGGAATTTCTGGAAGCTAGTCCCTCACATTTCAAGCCAGGTCTTAAGTATACTGCCTTTGTAAGTAAATTAATATGTATTTTAGTATTCTTCTTCTTATTATTATTACAGTTTTTACTCTTGTAGGTAATTGTGTATGAATTACTTGACTATAATTTTGCAATTTATAATACTATGATAGTAGTAGTAATTTAGTAAATTGCCTTAAACAGTTGTCTTTAGTAAGTTAAAGAGTTGTCTTACACCTTATAATTGATTAATAATATACTCATTTAAAATTACATTGAATATTGTCATTTTCATCCACCCAGGTGGATGCATACGTCACGAATAAACTTTAAATTCTAGGCTAAAGTGACCCAGCCAGATGGCACTCCCCCAGCTCCTCGCACTACCCCACTTCAAGTGGAGGTCAAATACTACAGTGAATGGAATGACCCTGACAAGGAATTGATTCGACAGACTCTGGATGTTCCAGCTGATGGACTTTTGCCAGTAACAGTGGACATTCCTACACGTGCCACTACCTTCACTTTGACTGTAAGTTTTTTATACTTCTTACGAGTTGATGATAGCTTTGATACATGTATTAATAGCTATGGGTGGGCAAAGAAGTTACTGATCAGATTTGAAAGTCAGCTGCTAGGGATGTGTTTGTTATACAATGTACATGTTCTTGCTATTTCACAATTGATTAATAAGAGTAACCTTATTGATGTGGAGATAAATGTCTCAGTATGTTGTTTATATATTTGAAATCTGCTTTCATTTTAATTTGTTACTGCATGGTACATACTATTAGATAAATGCTTTTTTTAAAAGTAATTGTATATTATGTTTCTTAAAAGTAATTGTATTTTAGATAATAAAGACAAGTGACATTTATTTACAAGATATGGTAAAAATTTATAAGATACGCCCCCCCCCCCCAAAAAAAAAAAAAAAAGAAAGGAAAAAAAAGCAATTAGGAAGCTAAGCTGAAGATTATATAAATGCATATATACCATGGTTTCTTATCAGTAGTTTATGAATACCAAATAACAATATTCATAGTTTAGACTTTGTGATTGCTTTCACATATGAAATATTTCCTGTAACCTCAAATAACACTTATAATAATATTATGGTCCAGTTTGCCAAATTGTCATATGCTAGATGGTGACTGCAAACAGCTAAACGTAAATTTTTTCGTGTTTTTTATGCATCTCCTTTTATCATGCAAATACCAGGTCAGCCTGAAAGGTTCCAGCACTGCAAGGGCTGTGAAATCTCCAAATCCATTTGAAACCAGGAGTGGCCAGCAAATGCAGATAACCTTGAAAGATGTTGACAGTGTTTCACAGGTATGTATGTAAAATTAAAAGTGACACAGAAAGAAATATCTCCTCAGAATAATCCATGAGTTATTTATTTATTTATTTATTTATTTATTTATTTATTTATTTATTTATTTATTTATTTATTATTATTTTTTTTTTGGGGGGGGGGGTGTCATGAGCAATTATAACTTACTGACCCTTGACTCCTACTGTTGGATATTGAATGTATAGAAGAATGAGTAAGGTATATTTCAGATATTTAATGTTGAAGGAAAAAGATTGCTTGTTTTCCAGGCAGGAGGAGACATAGTGTTTCAGTTAAGGTCAACATCATCTCTCTCCAAGGTGTCTTACCAGGTGGGTTGTTATAATATTATTATACATAGTAGATAGCAGCATCATTGAAAATGAGATTTTGGACATTCTCAAGTTGCAAATTTAGTATTGGCAGCCTAGCAGTTTATGTTCTTCTTCCAGCTTGAAAAAGGAATTGGGTGGGTGGGTGGGAATAAGAATCATCTAATTTATGGTTGGATAGGATCAGTAGTTGATGGAAGAAAATATTGCATAGAGGTCAATGACATGCTGGTAAGTGTGGTAATCCTTGGCAAAAATACAGATAGAGAATGAAGTCAGGAATGTCCCCAGCTGCAAAATCAATCATCAGCCACTAGGGGGCAGTAGAGTCATGTTTAAGATTGTCGACCCTTTTTAGGGTGTTTAATGTGGCTGATATTCAGTCTGGTTTTATTTGACACGAATATAATCATTTTAATTTGATAAATTATCAGAATTGAAATTTTGAAGTTTTTTAAGATTCATATTGATTGTGCATGTGTGTTATAGTCGTACTGCCCATACTGTTTACTATATTTAATTTGGAAATTAAAAGGTCCAATTGAGACATACAAGGAGGAAAATTATTATCTTTAATTTTTTTGTTCAGATTGTCTCCAGGGGAACCATACACTCAGTGGGTGAACAGGTGTTTGCCAGTGCTGCTACCAGGCAAGAGTTCACCATCACGGCCGATAGCAATATGGCACCCAAAGCTAGAATTCTGGTCTATTTCCTCACTGCTGATGGTGAAATGATTGTTGACAGTGTTGATTTTACTGTAGAGGGAGCTTTTAGAAATGATGTGAGTACTTCTGCCATTCTGGGATATCTTATGCATTAAATGGTTAAACAAAATATTGGTGAGCATAATATAATGTTGCAGTTGATTATACTGATACCTATTATGGAGACAGTTAAGTAACTCACTGAGTATTAGATGAAAGTAGGAAAGACTTTAAAATAGGTTCTGAACACTATATTGTGATTAAAGCTGTCCCATAGGTAAAGAAATAAACAAAATTATTGCAAAAAGAACCTGATGTGCAACTTTATATTCTGACAGGTGTCTGTGCGTTTTACCAACCCATCAAACACAGAAATTACGCAATCGGAATTGGGCAAGGATGTGACCTTTGAAGTGACTGCCGCTGCTGGGTCATTTGTAGGATGTCTTGCTGTGGACCAGAGTGTGTTGCTGCTAAAATCAGGGAATGATATCACACAGGCCGAAGTAAGCCTAAAGCTGTTTCTATTTCTTAATATACATAGTTACGTACGTGTCACAGTGTGTGTGTGGTGGGGGTGGGGGGGGGGGGGTACTGTGATGTGGGTGTGTGTGGTTGGTTGGGATGGTGGGTGTGTTTTCTAGTCATCAATGATTGAATCTAGTTTAGTTCGAATATGTTGCATTGCCTGCTATGACCAAGGAGAACCTCTGTGTGTTCTTTTTTTAGTGATTTCTGACAACAACAGATTCGTAAGACTTTACACATTTTTAAACATGGCGTATTTGAATAATAAAACAGTGCATTTGATAAGTGGTGAATGGAACAATCTTGAGCTATGAATGATACGTTCGTCATAATACCAATCAAGCACAAAACTTAGTTCTTATTATATTAAGCATTGAATGTCTATGTAAGTAGGATTGCATTTTTCTGAATTGCACCAGTCTGAGAAATGCCCTAATGGATCCTCTACTCTCAGCACCACCAAAAAATTTTTGATTGGTACGTTGAAAGCTTGTGAAAGGTAACCCCACCCTCTTACAGGTGTGATACTGAAACCTGAATGGCTCAGTTTGAAAAGGTTTTAGTATGTAATGAATCCTGCTATATAGTATGTACTGAGTCCTGCTATGTAGTATTTAATGAGTCCTGGTTGTACTATTTCACAGGTCTTGGCAGAACTGGAGGAGTACGATGTAAAGGACACAAGTGGAGGGTTTAACCCCTGCTTAAGAGGCGAACCGTGTATTATGGCCAAGAGAAAGAAGAGGTCATTTTGGTGGCCCTATCCCATTGGTGGAAATAATGCTTTTGATTTGCTGAAGGCAAGTATTTAGCTTTTCCTTTCTAATCTCAAGATAGCTTTTTGTGATGATTAAGGCTACCTTAGTTCAGTCTTGTGAGTCAAGATCTTAAGGCAGAAGGCCTTATATTTAGAGAAAAACATTTAGTATTACATCGTAACATGAAAATTGATACACTTTTTTATCCCATTTCCCCACAAGTTGGCCATTTGTCCTTACCAAAAAGCAAAATATTACATGGTGCTTGCTGAATAAATTTGAAATGATATTTTTTTTCTTCCTTACAGGATTTATTTGTTGACGTCATGTGCATTTTCTGCAGTGAACATAAATCCTTGGGGGAGTTAGGAAAATGCAGTTGTTTTTTTTTTCTTTTTTTTTTTTGATAGCTAGAGATGGACAGTGATATATCACTTGGTGGATTATACTGATTCTTTGTTTTTTTTTTCAGGAAGCAGGCATGCTGGTAATGACAGATGCTTATTTAAAAAAGGACCTAGTATTGTACCCCAGTAAGTAAAGAGTTGAGTCATTATTCCACAAAAAAAAAAAAAAAAAAGTGTCTTTCAGAGTCAAGTCACCCAAGCTCACATTTTGTATGAAATTTGCACAGTTCTGTCTTGTCCTAACATTGCTGCTGGTTTTATACTATAGTTACCTGTAATGTGGAAAAAGATCAACAGGGAGAAAAAGGTTGTAAAACATTTAAAAAACAGACTGTAGAACAGCATACAAAAAAGGTTGTAAAACAATTTTGCAAATATTTCACAAAATGTGTGTCACAGACTTGACCGGTAGACAACACTTTGTATTATTGACTTGGTGATACTTTTAAATTATTTGCTAAAACTCTCAAGTGACAGATTTGAAGAGAATTATCCTTGATTAAATATAAATAATTTTTTGAAGTTATATTGTTAAAAAAAAAGAGAAGCTTGAGATTACAATCAACATTTGTACTGAAACTGAGTTGAGATATTGGCCCTTTTATTGTACCACCAGCGTTGGCGCTGGCGGTACACATGGTTTTAGTCCCGTCCGGTCCGTTCCGCCGGCTCCGCAGCCATGTTACCGTTACCGCTTCTCCTCCTAGACGGTAAGGGCCCCCATACCCATCTCTTGGATTCAGGTCACCTATAATCTCGTTCCACGTAAAATTTGGGCTTTGTCGATATTGGGGTCTAGGTGTGGCATTCATTGCAATGCACCCTTGTCCAAAAATGGCAAAATTAAATGCTAATTATCTACCCTACGGAAGGAATTATGGGAAAATTTTCTACAAACGGCTTTCCAAAAGTCATATGTGTAGATTTCAAATATGCCCTTGGATTTGACCTTTGACCTTTATTTCAAGGTCAAACGGGCCAAAATTTTCAAAAAAATGAATTTTTTTACGAAAAAAAAATTATTTGTGCTGTTATTCAGACACCACACAGACTTAACCAATAATATTATTGGAAAATGTTACCATTCAGGTCATCTTTCATATCCGTAAATTTGGGGTCAATCAGTGCATTTTCACGGGAGTAGCGGCCATAAGATACCAAAACTGAAAACTGTCTCTAATTCAGGAACCGTTAATGCTAGAGACCCATTCTTTTTTGCATTTTGTAGAGCATGTAAAGCCCAACACTGGGGGTGGTCTCCGTTTTTTTGTATTCCATACGGTTTTCGAGTTACGCTGTATCAAAAAGTACATATTGGTGGTGAAAGCAAAATGTGCAGTACGGTAATGGATAATAAATTTTAAACTCTTGAAAAATAAAACATAAGGCTTGGTAAAGCAGACAACTTGTGGTCAAAAATGACATTATTTCATCAAATTTGAACTTCTGGATCGAACTTCAGAGCACCTCCCATTTCAAGAATTTTGACCAAAATGACCTTTTTATTTAAATTAATTTTTTCTGTAGGAAATTTATGGCACATTATGGTAACCCCAAAATTATAACATTTAGTCCCTTATATCTCCAAAACTGGCAGAGATAGGTCCATAGTTACTATTGAAGTTGAATAGGAAGTCATATACTGGCAACCTTTGACCTACTTTACACCATAAACTGAACTTTGCAACTTTTTAATGCTTTTATTTTCAGAGATACGCCCATAGTTACTATTGAATTTGAATAGAAAGTCATTAGAAGCAATTAACTGTGACCTTTGACCTACTTTTCACCATGAACTGAACTTTGCAAATTTTGCTTCCCTTTTATCTCCAAAACTGGCAGAGATAGGTCCATAGTTACTATTGAAGTTGAATAGGAAGTCATATACTGGCAATCTAAATGTGACCTTGAAATTGACCTTTGACCTACTTTTCACCATGAACTGAACTTTGCAAATTTTGCTTCCCTTTTATCTCCAAAACTGGCAGAGATAGGTCCATAGTTACTATTGAAGTTGAATAGGAAGTCATATACTGGCAATCTTACTGTGACCTTGAAATTGACCTTTGACCTACTTTTCACCATGAACTGAACTTTGCAAATTTTGCTTCCCTTCTATCTCCAAAACTTGTAGAGATAGGCCCATAGTTACTATTGAACTTGAATAGGAAGTCATATACTGGCAATCTAAATGTGACCTTGAAATTGACCTTTGACCTACTTTACACCATAAACTGAACTTTGCAACTTTTTAATGCTTTGCAACTTTTTAATGCTTTTATTTTCAGAGATACACCCATAGTTACTATTGAATTTGAATAGAAAGTCATTAGAGGCAATTAACTGTGACCTTTGACCTTCTTTTCACCATGAACTTTGCAATTTTTGCTTCCCTTTTATCTCCAAAACTGGCAGAGAAAAGTCCATAGTTACTATTGAACTTGAATAGGAAGACATATACTGGCAATCTTACTGTGACCTTGAAATTGAACTTTGACCTACCTTAAGATGAACTTTAATTTGATTGTACCATTTTTAGTTATATATATTTTATACATATTTTGCAAATTCTTGTTGATTGCATTTTTACAGCTTGTCAAGCACAAGACTGGTGGCTGTGTCCCTTATTTTGTGTATGTGGGGGTCTGTACGAATGCGCTTGCTCCAGCTGGTGGTACAATATTCGGAGGCGGTATCGCCTCTCTGATCCCTAGTTCTTGTCATTCATCCAATTTGAACGGTCAGTATCTCCTCGGACACCATGAAACATACGCTGATGGCGTCAATTGGTATGGTTTTAGAGGAACTCACCATTCCTTGAAGACCACCGAGATGAAGATCTGCCCTGTTGACTTTTAGTTGAGCTCTGGTGTCTGTCTGTTTCAAATCAATACAGCGGGCAAAATTTGGTCATAATACTAACACAAAACAATTAAGAGTGTTTCAATTCAGATTTAACCTGTTATTGCCTACTTTGTCCAAGGTGAATCGAGTATATTGTGATTCAAAGGAAAACATGTTATTATAATTTATTATGAATGAAAATGTTTGCCCTTTCGCCTCACCATTACTGCCGTTGCTGTTGCTGTGTCATTTCAGAGATTATATGTAAAATTATAGAACATTTACCAAACTGATCAGTATAAATAAAATACGGGTCAAGTTCAGTTATTTTTCTTGAAGTATGCAGTTTTTGTGTACTTTCAAATTCCACAGAATGGTTCTTTTAGTGTAGGACTTGGGCATGAGCAGTATGCTAGTTACAATTTATGAATATCCTCAATACCTTAAGTATATTTTTAAAAAACTGGTGGTGAGTAAGCTGTAAAGCATTATGTGAGTTTGAAAGGCAGCCTGATTATATTTTTTTCTTGAAGTTATGCATCTTTTCTGAACTTTTTTTTCACAAATTGGCATGTTCAATACGTGACTTTGAAATCCTGTGGACGGAAGCTCTGTGCTATATTTACATTTTCTGAATGTCCATGATACCTGTTGTACATAATGAAAAATAAGTGGTGATTAATTTTCACATACACCAATACAACTTTTACTATTGCTTTCATTAAAGTGCCTGAGAGATCACCACCACACGGTGACTGAGCTTAGTACTAAAATATTTTATCATAATTCTGCTGTTAAACATTTTATATTGACGATTGCCCCATTTTGTGCACTTTCAGCAGAATTTTTCTTCTTTATTTTTTGTGTAATGCATTTTTTAAAAATCAGTTGTACTCAATGGCATTTTTTATGTATAACTTTTATCTCTGAAAGGCCCAAGGCCCTCTGCTGTTACTTATTCTAAATTTCCATGTTACCCTTGGTGCATAGTTAAGCATCATGTAATTGACAAACTAATTTGTGCGTTTTTTTATTATTTCTGTACAATTGACAGCTTTGCTGCCTTGTTATACAACATGCCTGTTTGTCAAATCCCTCTCGTCTGAAAGACTCCACTTTCAAATAAAATACCATATTTCAATTTAAGCAATCTGAAACTGCATATATTCAAATATGTATGTATCATGTATTTATTTTATTTAAAGTTTTACATGTAATTTTTGAAGTAGTTACAGAAAACAAACAACTCTATATCTCAACGCTCATTAAGCCACCTCAGTAGGGGCAGGCTACTAGGTCTTCAACTTTTAGCCACTTACTCTTAGAACAAGCTGTTTCACGGAAAAAAAGTTGGTAAATTTTATGAATAAAGGGCTTTCACAATATATGAATCCAAACTCTGGAATAGTTAAATAAGAGCAGGAGGCGACATAGATATTTGTAAGATACTTTTAAAGGCTTATATTTTAGAACAGCTTATTATTGATTATCAAGTAGTTTTTCTTCTTATACATCCTATTAGTCTTAATTGACAATATTTAACTCTTAAAATTTTTATATAGCTAGATAAACTACATATCTGTAATATTACAATTAAGTTTTAACTTGTCATTTTTAGCTGTAAACTTTGTCATTTTAAATCTTTATTGTTTGTAATATTTAGTTCTTTTATATTGTACTATTTAGCTCTTTTAGATTTTAATATTAAGTTCTTTTATTTAAAAACAATTGTAAGGTGCATAGAGATTTTTTATGGAATGCACAATGTTAAAGAATAAGCCATTTTTATTATTAAAGTATACTATCAGCATTTTAATTTGTTCCAAACATGCATGTTCTATGTGTACATATTCTGCTTACTAGTATCTAGTTATCCTTCCCAATCTGGACCATTTCTTAGGTTACGTCAATTAAGTGGGAAAAAAAGTTCAACTGTTTTTGGTAATAGACCTCCCCCAACCACACTTAAAAATTATTGCAGACAGGTCAGACACGGCACCCTGTAATCCTATTCCTCATATCTGCTATACTTCTGTGTCCATGTAGTTTTTATGTGCAGACTGACACACAGACTTCAGTAACGTACCCAGCTGTTTTCCAGGCCCAAGTTCATACGTGTCTGGATATGCTGAGTCTTTGGGCCTTGCGTATAATGTCTGCATAATCTGCTCCCACTTGACTGGGGAATATAACTGTTTCACCAACATTTTCTTAATTACATCAGGTTTTCTATATCTTTTGGCATTCACGTTACTCTGCACTGGGATGAGAGGAACTGCTATCTTGACTCCATCCAGTTTTTTCTTAAATTCCTGGGCAATGGGTCTCATGAGGGCAGTGTGAAATGCTCCACTGACGGGGAGAGGCTTGACACGGGGGATGTTGAAAACACTCTTTGATTTTTCGATAAATTTCAAAGCCTGGAAAAAAAGAGTGTTTCTTATCACTATTGCTTTTTGGTTAATATACATTTTTTAAAAATTTCAATCCAATTTCCACATAAACAAGGACATCAAGATATACAATGCGTGTTACACCTTCATATAGAAAAATATAATATTGACAAAGGTTTAATTCCATCCAAAACTGTTGACTAAAGATAAATACCAGAAACCAATTTTTTTTTTGTCATCATACGTAAATTTTACCCATTCCCCACACCATTTTGAGAAAAACTTGTTACTCAAAAACAGGTTTATGGATTGTGCAGCCTTTTTTATTGGTACCTCTTTACTAAACACTTTTCAGTGATTTTTTTTTCTTAAAACTTTACCCCGTGACTTCTGAGGAATGGCCTTCATCCTCACCTCTATATTTCCTCCCAGAACCTTGGCATTAAAGCACAGGTAGTTCGCAGTGCTACACACTGGGTTGACAATCCCAGCTTTCTGGCGACAGAACTCCATAGCAACTTGCTTGGCCTCTCCTAACTCGGTGTTGGGCCACAAAAATACCGTCATTAGGCCCCCCGGAACCTCCTCAGATGCACGCTGCATTAACTGGGCACGGGTTTTGACCAATTTCAGACCTGAAATAAAACAATTCAGTGCAGCACAGTTTTTTGACCAAGCAAAGACATGAAATAAAATACTTTAGTAACAGAAAACCTTAGTTTTCTTGCTATTTCTGCCTTCTATTCTATTCTATTCTATTCTATTATAATAAATATTAAAGAGATGGAAACTGCAAGAGGATAACAATGAAGGAGTTAAGTTATAACAACACATGGAGTAGGAAGGCACAAATAATCCACAAAGGAGTTTTGCATTCACAATACTTCCACAAATAACTAAGAGCACATGCGCCAAGGACCTGCCTTTGGCCAGGAAACAAAAAACTTTAGAGGCCAGTTTCACAAATTTAAAGAACTTCAGTCAAAATCTGAGCTTTAAAAGCTAAAACTGGGTCCTCCACCAGTCCAAAATAAACCTGTCATTCTCAAACAAACAAACAAACAAACAAACAAACAAACAAATAAATAAATAAATTTTCAAAAATGACCTAGTGTATAATGTGCATAGGAACAAAAACTGTATGTTTTGGGACAGAAATTTCCAAGATGCCCGTGTTCTCATCCTTACCATCCTCAAATGTCATTGCCCCTGAGAACACTAGTGCAGCATATTCTCCTACACTAAACCCTGTGGTGGTGATGCACTTCTCCAGTACCTGAAATACACAGTCACAGTTAAAATCAGTTGAAGTTCTTACCAACATATTATCTAGGTCTGTACATAACTATAATATTAGCACAAAGTCACTCTTGTTGTCTTATTTTAGTCCCATCTCATACCAGCTGTTATTGATAGTTTTGAAAAACTCAAGTCAAAAAAAATTCAATCTGATCAACTAAAATGAAATACTAACTAAGCTTTAATAGTGTTTCTCAACTTTTAACATGTGCCCAACTTAACAGAGTCTGTTCTTCAAAATGCTTTCATTTTATATCAAACCAGCTATAAAAATTAACTAAAATACTAGAAAACTAAACCCTCATCTCATGTAAGTAAAGCACCTTGGGGTTAGAATCCTTCATCATTTCCACAGCAGCAAGAGACGTCACAAACACAGCCGGCTGACAGTGAACAGTCTTGTTTAGCTCAGAAATGGGGCCATGGAGGCATAATTCCAACAAGTCATATCCTAAAATTTCATTGGCCATCTCAAACATGTCCTTTACATTTGAGTAGCCGAGTAACTTCTTTCCCATCCCAACAAACTGACTGCCCTGTCCAGGAAATAAAATGATAGAGGTTTCCCGAGGGTCAATGTTAGGTCTATATGCATGTGCAGTTTGATCTTGCTTTGATCGCTGTTCTTCAGCTACATGTATAAAGCTGGTTTCCTTAAGTAACTTTGCTTTTGCTGCATCAAATAATGGTGTCCCTTCCACTTCATCTTCATCATCACTGGACTCCGAATCTGAATGAAAAAACTCTTTCTCATCCATATCTAACATGTTAATTTCTGCCTTCATGCTCTTTTCAGTAGGCCGTGGTCTGATTCTTTTACTTTTCTGTAAAGTGTTCAATTCACCACTAGATTTTTCACGGCTTTCCCTGCTGTATCGTTCCATTCCTCTTTCAGCAGCTCCAGCATCTCTAGATCTTCGCACATTGTAATTATTGAAAGGAGAGGATTGTCGTAGGCCCCAACCCTCCTTGAGTCCCTCCTCGCTCCTGAAACCCTTATAAGACTCCGGTGCTTTGCGCTGATTGTTATTTTCATCATCTGAGATTGCTCTCCTGTCCTGACGAGTGCCTGAACGTTTGGCGAGAGACCCTGACGGTGGCCTGTGCCGACCACGTGGGTAAAGAGTGACTGGGCTGGTGAGGATTGTCCTTTTCTCATTGGTGAAATGACAAGGAGACATAAAACTCCCACCCCTATTCCGTACTCTTCCATGTTGTGGAAGTATACTGTGGAATCTCTGATGCAGCAGCCGAACTAAAAAACGCATTGTCATCTTTTCTCAGAACATCGATATCTGTTTTACAGCCCTGGAAATGGATAAAAAAAGTCAATTTCACTTCATAAATCAATTCAATGAATATATATTTGTAACATGAACTTCAACTCTTTAACTGTATTACATTTTTTTTGCTACATCTGCATTGTCGTTAACACCAGTCTAAAAATCACCGACACAAACCACTGCTGTAACTAAATTTCAGAGCTTTATGTACAAGTAAATTAACTTCCGACTTTCCCTTCTGACTAAAATGCTGCTAAATAAAAGCAAATTTGTTGAACCACACACCTTGAGGATTCTCTGTGTCATTAAACGTTTTGTTTGGCAATTCTTGCCCAACTTCCCACATGGCTTAAGTGCCCCAGATGGGTACTACGTAATGTCGTTACATATAATTGCGTTAACCTGTTTGTAGATTATTCAGTTAAGGTAGAGAATACCACAAAGATTTATAGAATATGTTTATCTGTATATATTCATAAAATATACAACAAGATGTTCATAAAATTAAAACGTGTTGCTGTTTGTCAGAAAAACAGGTCAAGGTCGGTCATTTCCCGCGAATATCCACACGTGATTTAAAGCGCATTTGTTTGGCGGGAAGAGTGTGATCAGTGGACAAAGCTGTATATCGCAAAAGGTGAGGCAATCTCGTTAGTTGCTGTCTTTTATATGAATATATATCTTACGGAACTTATTGCTGAGTTGAATGCTGCCAGGCAATAGTATTCCGTTAATTTAGTAATACCCTGTAAATTATTAAATGTAAGTTAAATCACAGATCGTAAAACCAGGTGAGATGTTTTGATCATGATATCATTGAGATTATCGTGCCCCGCCGACTGTCTTTCTGCCACTGTCAGTTTTATGATTAACTGAATAGTTGACAGTGCAGAAATATCCATCAGCCTGGTGTAAATATAGTTCAGAGATCGTTATTTGTACACAAGCGAAGCATTTATGGACCTGACAAGGCCCAAGGCCCTTGATCCTTGCATGGAAATAAATCGTAGTCTACGATAAATTTTCATGAACCATTCATCACTGACATCAGGTTGAGTAGATCATATGTTACTATGTTGACCGGTAGTGAATATTAGCTAGCACACAAGCTTCATAAATNAATTCAATGAATATATATTTGTAACATGAACTTCAACTCTTTAACTGTATTACATTTTTTTTGCTACATCTGCATTGTCGTTAACACCAGTCTAAAAATCACCGACACAAACCACTGCTGTAACTAAATTTCAGAGCTTTATGTACAAGTAAATTAACTTCCGACTTTCCCTTCTGACTAAAATGCTGCTAAATAAAAGCAAATTTGTTGAACCACACACCTTGAGGATTCTCTGTGTCATTAATCGTTTTGTTTGGCAATTCTTGCCCAACTTCCCACATGGCTTAAGTGCCCCAGATGGGTACTACGTAATGTCGTTACATATAATTGCGTTAACCTGTTTGTAGATTATTCAGTTAAGGTAGAGAATACCACAAAGATTTATAGAATATGTTTATCTGTATATATTCATAAAATATATAACAAGATGTTCATAAAATCAAAACGTGTTGCTGTTTGTCAGAAAAACAGGTCAAGGTCGGTCATTTCCCGCGAATATCCACACGTGATTTAAAGCGCATTTGTTTGGCGGGAAGAGTGTGATCAGTGGACAAAGCTGTATATCGCAAAAGGTGAGGCAATCTCGTTAGTTGCTGTCTTTTATATGAATATATATCTTACGGAACTTATTGCTGAGTTGAATGCTGCCAGGCAATAGTATTCCGTTAATTTAGTAATACCCTGTAAATTATTAAATGTAAGTTAAATCACAGATCGTAAAACCAGGTGAGATGTTTTGATCATGATATCATTGAGATTATCGTGCCCCGCCGACTGTCTTTCTGCCACCGTCAGTTTTATGATTAACTGAATAGTTGACAGTGCAGAAATATCCATCAGCCTGGTGTAAATATAGTTCAGAGATCGTTATTTGTACACAAGCGAAGCATTTATGGACCTGACAAGGCCCAAGGCCCTTGATCCTTGCATGGAAATAAATCGTAGTCTACGATAAATTTTCATGAACCATTCATCACTGACATCAGGTTGAGTAGATCATATGTTACTATGTTGACCGGTAGTGAATATTAGCTAGCACACAAGCTTCATAAATGTTTTGCAAATACACAATTAATTCACGATTGATATTAGGCACTTATATCATTTCTGTAATAATTCGATCGCTCATCAGAGTATAGCACGAAAATTCATGCGATAGCACTCCTATTGACGATAGTTAGCACAGCCAGTACATATCAGAGTCAATAGGAGTGCTAACACATGAATTTTCGTGCTAATCAGAGTACTATAGTTACGTACTAGTAGTATTTACTACATGTACACAGTGTGCTACTCAGTTAAAAAACGTGTTGATTATTTCAATGTTATACACCACAGTGATCCTGTATTTATTGAGTTAATTTCCATTTCTCTCATATTTGTCACTTTACTAATGTTTCACACTATATATACTCCACCAGTCATTGATCAGTTGTCATTAGATTCTTATTGTCTAATTAAGGACAAAAAAAACATTTATCAATATCAAGTATCATACATACAATTAGTTTATCAGTTTAAACCACCTAGTTTTAATCTAAATATATCAAGTTTTAAATTTTAAGGAAGACTAATAAAATCAAAATATTACATATTTAAGGAACCCAGTCTTATCGTAGCTGTGAACCATGTCATCGCCGACAACTCCTCGCAGCACGCGCAGTAAGCGTGGTCGTGACTCCGAGGCAAGCAGTCCAGCCTCCAGCAAATCTGCAACTCGTAAGTTTGATGTTGATTGGCATAAAGCCATATCATATATGGCCAATGTCTTAAACTATTTAACTTGTAAGTTTTTTTTTTTTTTGTTCTTTTTTCAGCAGAATGTTCAAACAGTAAGTTGATATTATCCATATGTTTTTTGCCCATGTCATTATATATAGTACCCTACAGAGTTGAAAAAATATTAATAAGAAATGTGAATTGCTGTATTTTTAGCCTCTAGGAGGAGCGCCAGAGGAACTGGCAGCAATCCAACTACACGTAAGTACAAATGTTTCTTAAATTGAGTTTAAGAAGGACTTCTTACATATTTTCAACTGATGCCACTGTAATTTTTCAATACAAAGTTAAAGACAAATAGAATTACATCAGTGGGATATCACTAAGACAAATTGCCAGTGTCAGCCAGTGATAAGTTTTTTCATCACAATTTTCTAAATGTGATATTTTTATCATTACCTTTTCAGCCTCTCGTCGAAGTACACGAGGCACCCCTGCTAAAGAGGATGTCGTCAGTTCTCCGCCCTCTCAGCGGCGCAGAATGGACACTTCACCACTGGCACAGATGCCCACCTCACCACCTACAGGGGCACCCAAAGATTTGGACACTTCTCTGTTCTCAAGTCCAGGTGCTTCTAATAAAGGAGCAACAGGTACATGATGTGAAACCTGCTTTTTTTATTTTCCTTGCTAATATATTGTCTATATACTGTAGATTTTACCTTTAAATCTGATGCCTTCTCAGTTCGAAAATATAGTACAAACTTCAGGTTGATGATGTTATTTACTTTTTATTTCATATTTCCATGGGTAATATTTTATTGCTGACCAGATTTTAAAATCTGTTTAAAACCATAGTGAAGAATGCTTTATGAGTATCAGCCTGCATCAGGGATCTACACTGTCACTGTCACTGCTGTTTTATTGTGTATTTCAGTCAAAAGACAGGGACTTTTAATAGTAATTTTAATTTGGAAAATAAAGAATTATAAATTATAAGTTTTCCTAAGCTGAATTAAAAGCTCTGCTCCATTTTTTCCCCTAGGAACCAGTGACATTGACTTGAGTTCTCCCCTCAATTATGGAACCCCCAGCTCAAGGGGCACACCCAGAACCCCAGGGGGTGGAGGGACCCCCATCAGACCCCGCTCTGACATCAGAAGTGACAGAAAGCTTCGAACAGTGCCTGTTGGATCTGATAATTTGGTGAGTTTCAATTATGAACTGTATGTGGTATGCGTTTAATGTAGTTTATATGGAATGTAGTCTTACTTGCTTCAAATTCAGCTTGCCTTTACTGTATATCAAACTTCCACAAGAGGCTTGTTTCACAAGAAGTCTTAAATTTTTTGGACTTGACTAAAAACTGATTAGCCTGCTATGAAAAGTTGACTATGCATGTTTGTCTAACAGTGTCATCTTCAGGGACTGCTAAATAAAGAAAATCATATCAAGATGCATTTTTAACTCAATTTTTTTAATAACTAAAATGGGTTTTAGTGGAAGTCAAACAACAGCAGACTTAATTCAAGAGGGCCTTTTTTTTCAGGATGCATCAAAAGCCACTAGTGAGGTGTCATCTGAGGTGAACGCGGGTCCACAACTGGTCATCTGGGGGACAGACGTGGTGGTCAGCCACTGCAAGGAGAAGTTCGCGCAGTTTGTGCAGAGATTTATCGACCACGAGGTGGCTGAAGATGAAAGGATGGAAGGGATGGACATCGAGGAGCCGTATTATCTGCAGAAACTGGAGGAGGTAAGGAGGAGAGGTGGACCCTGGGGAGGAAAATTTGTTGTTTTCAAATAATTTCATTTGCCACAAGTCAATGCTCTTTTCTTGCTTAATGTGAGACACAGGACCTTAGAATTGGTTCCTAATCTGTTAAAAATCCATTTTCAGATTTTTTTCTTTTTTTTTTTTCCCCCTCCTGGGTATGCATACTTTCATTTTAAAAACCTGTGAATATGCTAAGATTGTTGCAAATTTGTTTTTTCCTTTTTTTTTTAGGAGGCATGGTCCTGAAAAACATGTTGTTTTTTCATTTATTTCTTTTGCTGCAAGTCAATACTCTTTTCTTGCTTAACTTTTGTCAAAGAGCAGTTTGATAAGAGTTTGACAGATATTTTTATATGTTTTAAGTATTCCTTTTCAAAATTTCGATGAAGTGATATTTGTAACAAGCCTTATAATTCTCCACCCCAGATTTCCCTGATTGGAGAACCATACCTGAACTTCAACTGCGAGCACCTGCGCCAGTTTGACCCTGACCTTTACCGCCAGCTGGTCTGCTACCCCCAGGAGGTCATCCCGACTTTTGACATGGCCGTCAACGAGCTGTTCTTCAGTCGCCACCAAGATGTTCAGTTGCCTCATCAGATCCAAGTGAGACCATACAACTGTGAGAGGACTAAGAATATGAGGTCTCTAAATCCAGAAGGTACTACTTTTACCCTTTCAAATATGGTTGTGTGATTGTTTTCCTATTGATTAGAAAGTGGTTTGCAGTACAAATGTGTGAAGAGCAACTGATAATTATGTCCATTGATTTTTGAATTGTTATGCACATATCAGGAAAATTTCAAAGATAGCATTGGCATAGGCATAAGACTAAGTAATAATTTTTAATTTCACCAGCGGAGAAGAAAATGGTTATTTTATGACATACACATCAAGCCTTTGTTTATTTTTATTTATTAATTTTTTTATTTATTTAGTTTTTATTTATTTTTTACTTTTGTTTACTTTTTTTTACTTTTAATTTTTTTTTTTTACTTAAACTGAACAGAATATATCTCTTTTAAATGACTGTAAGGTCGTATTCCCATAGATTTTAGATCGATCTATCCCTGTGGGGAGTCTCACTAGATTACTGTCAGATAATCCGGCTTAAATATCTGTCCCGCCTACTACAAGCTGTAAGGGGGTAATTAACTTTTGTGCCCGCTCGGCTATCAGCTATTTAGCGTGAACCCCCAGGGAGTTAGGTCGATCTAGTTTGGATCGATCTAATCTCTGGGAATGGGGTCTAAGTCTCCAACCTTCATAATTTTCTAATTCTCCTCTTCCCTCCCCCTTTAGATATTGACCAACTGATCACCATCAGTGGAATGGTCATCAGGACCTCCACCCTCATGCCAGAAATGCGTGAGGCCTTTTTCAAGTGCTATGTCTGCCAGAACACGGTTACCGTGGAGATAGACCGAGGACGCATTGCCGAGCCCACTCTGTGCCAGAACTGTAACACAAACCACTCCTTCGGTCTGGTCCACAACAGGTCTCAATTCACTGATAAACAGCAGGTCAAACTGCAGGAGTCACCAGGTAATTTGATGAGGATATCAAAGTGCTGATTTAGTTAGTGCTCATGCATAAATCAGATCTCTGTCTTTCATACTTAAAAGCCACACAAAGATTTAAGAACAAAACAGATGTGCAGATAAAGTGACTTTGTACTTTTAGCTGAGCAAAAAATTAACAAAATTTGTTTGTTATTTACTCTGTGTGAAAGAGGACTTAAAAAGTAACTGAAATTAGTATTGAAGTATATTACAATTGAAATTCATAGGCATTTCTTCCACTCTGTTTTGAACAGTCTTTTCTCTCTGTAAAGAAAAAAAAGGAGACTACATGTAGATCAATTTTTATCATACTAAAAATTAGAAGTATTCTGTACTAAATACCATTGTTTCACCTTGCAGAGGACATGCCCCCTGGCCAGACCCCCCACACGGTCAGTGTCTACGCCCACAGTGACCTGGTGGACAAGGTGTCACCGGGAGACAGGATTACCATTACTGGGATCTACAGGTGAGATTTCCCTCCTCGGTGAAATTTTAGGCTTCTTGCAAACTGATGCCTCAAATTTGCAGGAAGGAATTTAACCATGCAAATGAGGTCAGATTTTAAAATTGGAAGGATATGAAGACTTCTTGCCGACTTCTTGCAAACTTGCCGCAAACTTTGAGATGTGTTGCAAATTTGCAGCAAACTCTTGCAATCTTCTCGTTTTCTAGGGGTAGTTCATTTCCAAACATTCTTTGCCATGCATATGCACATTGACTTGTTTTAACAGGGAATGAATTTAGAATTATTTTGAGCATAGTTTTGATGTATGGATAGAGTTGAGAATTTACTTAATGTAATCTTCGTCTGTACACTTTTTTTGCTGAGTGAATAGAACGACAAGAATGTGGTCAAATTTTATACAAATTTTCTGCAATAATGCATTTTTAAAAATGGAAGTTGCAGTTAATATTTTGTTAAAACACATAGGCAATTGTGTTTGTATTTATTTTTCGTCACCTGTCATCGTCTGTTGACACTAGTGTTTGTAACAACTTTAAATGATTTAATACTACAGGGCCACCCCCCTCAGAGCCAACCCCCGGCAGAGCAACGTGAAGTCTGTCTACAGAACACACATCGATGTCGTCCACTACCGCAAGATGGACGTCCACAGACTGAGACAAGAATCCAATGAGGAAGAAGAGAAGTGAGTTTTTAGCTGTTTTGGTATTAATTAGGGCTTTAACTGTATTTATTTATGTTTTTTCTTTTTGGTGTTAAAAAAATAAGACAATAAAAATTAATAGAAATTATTATGTATCAACAACTTGAACCAAATAGTGAAATTTAGTTAAGTATTTTTCAAATTTAAAATATTAAAAGATAGGTACTCTAGTGATGGTAGTTTTGTCTTCAGCCCCTTTCATTCTGAATATAAGATTTGACAGCGTGCTCATTATACTTACATATAATTTGTAATTCCAGTGTTGTTCGTTACACTGAAGAGAGAGTGAAGGAGTTGCAAGAGTTGTCCAAGAAACCAGACATCTATGAACGACTGGCACATGCCATCGGTATGAATACAAACTGGCAGAGAAAATACTTTTGTTTCTGTTTAATTGATAGCTGATGATACACTTTGCTGTAAGACTGGGTTTTGTTTAAGCTGTGTTGTGGAATAAACCATGGTATTCATGCAAGAGCACTTGTTAGATAGCTGGAAATGAAATCTAAATTTTTAATATGCACAACAGTGCCGATGAAGTATTTTAAATATAATTCAGCACTATATCAAATTATTGCCTTGCTTCTGTCTTTCCTTTAGCACCAAGTATTTATGAAAATGAAGACATCAAGAAAGGCATACTTCTGCAGCTGTTTGGAGGAACAAGGAAAGACTTCACAAATTCTGGCCGAGGAAAGTTCAGGTACGTTGAGAGCTGCTGCTTGGAGACTTCATGAAAGTTTTGGAAATTTTCAGCAGCGTTGTCACCCATACAGCTGAAAAGCTTCCTCTACAAGTTGTCTCATGGTAATGGCTATAAATATGCCCTCTCCTGTTCAAAACTGATTGTTCCACTTTGTGGAGAATTATGTTCCAGCTGAATGTCTTCCTATAAAAAATTATTTCTCTGAAGTTAGGAACTGTATGTCCTGATGTGTGAATATTGATATATTAGCAATCCTCAGTGTTATATCTTATTGTGCATCTTGACTCATAGTTTCCATTGATATATATATATTTCTAAATTTTCTGGTATGAATTTCTACATTTTTTTAAAGTGTTTATGTATATATCTCTACATCTTGCCTTAAAGTCTCTATTGATGTACTTCTATATTGTCTCTAGGGTCGTAGCTGAATGTCCTGCTGTGCAGATATCCATATTTCTTTAATCCTCAGTTTTATATCCATCTCTCCATGTTGCCTTTATTGATGTATTAATTTCTATATTATCTCCAAGGTCGGAGCTGTGCAGATACCCGTATTTCATTATTCCTCAGTTTTATATCCATCCCTCCATGTTGCCTATATTGATGTATTAATTTCTATATTATCTCCAAGGTCGGAGCTGTGCAGATATCCATATTTCATTATTCCTCAGTTTTATATCCTTCTCTCCATGTTGCCTTTATTGATGTATGTATAAATTTCTATATTATCTCCAAGGTCAGAGCTGAATGTCCTGCTGTGCAGAAACCCGTATTTCATTATTCCTCAGTTTTATATCCATCTCTCCATGTTGCCTTTATTGATGTATTAATTTCTATATTATCTCCAAGGTCGGAGCTGAATGTCCTGCTGTGCAGATATTCATATTTCGTTAATACTCAGTTTTATATGCGTCTCTCCATGTTGCCTTTATTGATTTATTAATTTCTATATTATCTCCAAGGTCTGAGCTGAATGTCCTGCTGTGCAGATATCCATATTTCATTATTCCTCAGTTTTATATCCATCCCTCCATGTTGCCTTTATTGATGTATGTATTAATTTCTATATTATCTCCAAGGTCGGAGCTGAATGTCCTGCTGTGTGGAGACCCAGGAACCAGTAAGTCCCAACTCCTCCAATATGTCCACAACCTGGTTCCGCGGGGCACCTACACCTCTGGCAAGGGGTCCAGTGCCGTGGGGCTCACAGCTTACATCACCAAGGACCCAGAGACCAACCAGCTAGTACTACAGACGTGAGTGTGTGGGTGACTGTCTGACTGCCAGCTTTTGTTATGTTCAAGAAAAAATAAACTTGTGTTATGCTCTCTTACTACTTCGCTGTGATCATGCTTGCTGCAAAATTTATTACCAATTTGGTAGTAATTTGATAGGAAGATTGAAACATACAGAATTTTTCTTTAAAATTTAATAAAATTTCTACATACATACAAACAGACACCTGGACTTTTTTTTTTCTTCTGTCCCAGCCATTGTTTTATGCATCTAGTTTTGTAATCTTGTAACTGGTTTTCCTGTTTGTCTGTTGAGTCCATTTGTGTTCAAAATTTGACTAATTTAAAACTTTTCATTTCAGTGGAGCACTTGTTCTTAGTGACAATGGTGTTTGTTGTATTGATGAGTTTGACAAAATGAACGATAGCACAAGATCTGTTCTGCATGAAGTCATGGTAAGTGTGACGTTGAGATCTGTTACTCAAGCATCTTTCTGAAGATTTTTTCCCTTCTTGTGCATGTTAAAAAGTAAGTTAATAGAGCTGTAAGGTTTTATTTAGTAATGTTCTAGTGATAATCATTTACTTTGGGAAGAGTAAAACAATCCATGTTTCACTCTTGTCACAAGAGCATCATCAAGCTGAATGCCAATATGTTGTTGGGTTTTGGTATTCCTGTGAACGATTCTCACTCAGTGTAGTAATTGCTTCTGGTAGAGTTTTGATTGAAATATTGACAAACAAGGGAAATTCATCTCTGTACCATATGTTCTCAACTACAGGAGCAGCAGATGCTCTCCATAGCGAAAGCAGACATCATATGTTCTCTGAATGGGCAAACATTTGTACTGGCGGCAATCCCATGGAATAATAATACTAATCACTTACTTTGAACAAAATATTAAATTGAAACGACTATATTTTGCTTCTATCACAAGAGCTACAGTTTGTATGCTCACATCTTTGGGAATGGTCGATCCATGACGGTTTCACACTTGGTGTAGTAAATGCTTATTGGAAGGTTTTGTTTGAAATGTTGACAAACTGGTTAATTTCTGTATACTACAGGAACAGCAGACGCTCTCCATAGCGAAAGCAGGCATCATATGTTCTCTGAATGCTCGAACTTCTGTCCTGGCGGCAGCCAATCCCGTGGAATCCCAGTGGAACAAGAATAAGACCATCATAGAGAACATCATGCTGCCACATACACTGCTGTCTAGGTAGGAAACGTACACTTTTGAATGATGTTAGAACATCCAAAGCAGATTTGTTTTAAAAAGTTGTTGAGCATGGTTGAAATTTTTTATTTTCAAGTTTTACTTTACAGTGTTGTATGCATACCAGAAAAAAGGTTAATGTTGGACTGTATGTACATCTCTCTTATTTTTCCTTTCCTTTCTTTTCTATTTTTTTTATTTATTTTCTAAATTTTATTATTTTAGTTATTACTTTATTAATTTATTTGTTTTATTTTTTATAACATCTGTAATTTTCAAGAGTTTATCTGCTTTATTTCACAAGATAAAATATTTGTATTTGATATTTCAGGTTTGACCTTATTTTTCTCATCCTTGACCCCCAGGACGAATTGTTTGACCGTCGCCTCGCCAACCACTTGGTGTCTCTGTACTATCAGTCTGCTGAACAACAGGAAGAGGAGTTCATTGTAAGTGGTTGTGTGAGTGCATGAATGCAGTGTAAACATTAGTGTTAATATTGTAATTCTGTGTATCGGTATGTTCTTAGTGTGTGGATAATTTATATATTATCTCTTCAGAAATAATATTTTTATAGTTTACAAACTCATTTTCTGTTATTTGTCTGTACATTTGACAGCTTTGCTGCCTTGTTATAGATTACAAACCTCAAGGCTTAGCAGTAAGAGTTACTGTATATTGTTACTCCGTCTTCTAGCAAATGAGTCTCCTGCGTGACTACCTCTCCTATGCCAAGCAGTACATTCATCCTACCATCAGCGAGGACGCTGGACAAGCCTTCATCCAGGCATACGTGGACATGCGCAAAATAGGTAGCGGACGCGGCCAGGTA